ACAATATGAACAAATCTATCGATTAATCTATAATGTTATATATTTTTGATTTGTAATCTCAATGATTGAAAAATTCATTGATTTAACTTTAATGTCATATAACTTACCTATAGTTTAAATGCAGTTTAAATAGATTTTTAAATGAATCAATATTTAGAAAATCATACAGTATCAATAAAAAACAAATATTCTTATGTTTTTAAGTATAAAAGATTTTTTAAATAATTTCTATTTTTGATTATTAAATATAGTATTTTTGTTAAATAACTTTGATTTGTACTATAGGTAAATGCCATTTATAAATAATTTGCATAAATTTGAATAATCACATTTTAAACACAGTATTGACTAACCAACAGATGATATGATTATATGGAAACATACTCTTTAACCTAAAAACTGCTAATTCTTTATATTCTTTGCTAATAATTAATTTTTTTTATAAATCACAGACTATTAGATAAGATATCTTTAATTTCCACTTGAACTAGAAATTATAATTTCAATATTATCTAATCACTTATGTGTGATTTACTCACAGAAATTCTGAGTGTACATCATATTTTTATTACAAGTTTACAAAAATGGCGTTTATTAGTGAGTAATTTCTAAGAAATTAGTTCATTTATATAATAATAAAGCATTATTTTCCATAAAATAGGATATTTAATAATAGTCGCTCTGTTTGGGACAGCCATATGTCGCTCAATCAGTATTATCTGTCCGGAACAGGAGCTCATAAATCCCTGTTCCTGTGACTACGAGTCCAAGACTTACACAAAACTCCTAAGAATCCAATGTCTGGGCGACGAAGAGTTAGATCTGATCCGTGTGTTCAAGAATCTGAGTGAAGCCCTGGAAGGGATGGGCAAAGAATTGGACGAATTCTACTTAAACAACACCAGAATCACGGAATTACCGCAAAATGTTTTCTCAGACATTAAGTTCGCATTCATTCGCATAGAGGAGGCCTCCCGTCTCACTCGCATTCACAGGAATGCGTTCAACGGAACTCATAATAGCATCACATCTCTGCATATATCCAATACACCCGTTCATAGCTCGCCACCAGATTATGACA